GGGGGGGGGGGGGAGGTGGTTGTATGGGGAATATTTGGGGGAGTGGAACAGATTTACGTGAGGGAGGCTAACCACACTGTTGGAAAAAAATGAAATTTCGTGGAGAGTTGACTATTCATTTTCAGGACAGTGACACTGGAGGCGATTTAGGGGGAAAAATCGTGAAATTTCAGGTTTCACTGATAAGGTTTCACTAAAATTCCAGAATTTCAAGCAAAAAAGTCGAGACTTCCTTCATTTATTTGAATTTCCAATCGAATATGAATATCCAGCGCCAAATTACATCGAATTTTCAGTGAAATCTGAAATGATGATTTTTTTCCCCCCGAAATCGCATTCGGTGGCAACGTCCTGAAAATTCAAGAATATATTTGCCGGAAGTTTCTGGTTTTCTATTCATTTTCAGGGAAAAATGGAACTGAAATTTACGGCTCTCTTTGATTTTTCCACGAAATCTGTATTTCGTATATGATATTCGGATATTTCTATACGGATATTTTTTATACAAATTATTTCTATACGATTTCTATAGGTTTGATCCTATGCGACCCACTGCCACATGTATAGGAACATTTCGTATGGACTCGCGATATTTCTCCACGTTTTTCTCCGGAGCGTCTAGACATCTTTCGTATGAAAATAAAAATTTGTGTAAAAATTTATGTATCAAAATAATTCATATTGAAAATATTCGTATAGAAATATCCGAAAATTATATACGGAAATCCTATAGAATCTCTATACGCAATCCATATGGAAAATTTTTATACACGGAGAGAAATTTTTTAGGAAAATTCTAGTGCTAGCAAGGGAAAAGAGGCGCAAAGTGACGGCCAGGGAAAAATTCCAGTGCCGGCACTAGAAATTTCATTGGGGAAAACGTGAATATCTGTGAAAATTTTACAGAAATCCCCAGCAATTTTACCAGAAATACCAAGAAATTTTACCTTAACAGGACTAGAATTTTTCACAGCCGGTGGATTGTAATTTTTTCCAGTACTCGTACTAGAATTTTTCTAGACAATTTCTCGGCGTGTACGATTTTTTCATACGTGCAGTCGCCCTCAATATTAAATGATCTCCCATCATCGTCCTCTTTGGACCCCAGGTTTCCTAAAAACGAGCACGAAAGGTAGTGCCCAGGGTAATTACGGCCTTATGGATCTCGTTGCGGGTCTGCACTGGCTCAGGGAGAACGTCGGAGCCTTTGGCGGTGATCCAGAGCGTTTAAGTGTCCTTGGTCATGGTACTGGTGCAGCGTTGGCAAACTTTTTGGCTGTCTCACCAATGGCCAAAGAGCTTGTCGAACGAGTCGTCCTCTTGGGGGGCTCTGCACTGTCACCCTGGGCCATTCAGCGCGATCCACTGGGAATTAAGAAACGAGTGGCCGAACAGAGCCGGTGCGATGGGAATGTCGAGGCTGATGATATTGCCAGTTGTCTGAGGGCGAGGAGTGTCAAGGAACTTTTAGCCGTTAAACTTGATACGCCGAGGTTCACTTCCGGCTTTGCACCGTTCGCCGATGGAGCCGTTTTGCCGCTAGCCTCGGTGCAGGTGCGTTCCACTGGTAGAAAATTACGCGTGAAATTTCGAATAAAAAATGTCGACATTTTTGCAGTTTTTTTCTATTTTTTTGTATTGTTTATTATTCTGTATTTACATATTGATTGAAATTACGAGGTTTTTATTGGAATTGAATGAATGAGCCTTTTTTGAATATGTCATCGACTTGTTACAACACTTCTGAGACACTTTGAAATCAAAGTATGATACAGGGAAAAAAAATACTTGAAATACTTGTATAAAAATATAAAACAATATAGTTCAACACATAAATATAAAACTAAAAATACAAGAAATTTTGACAAAAAGCTCATCAATTATTCGTTTGTTATTTAGCCTGCTTTTGTGGTTCACTAATTAATTTTCCCATCTACGTATACAGATTTTTACCATTGGGGAAAAGTGAACAATAAAACCTTTGTTTTCGTTATTCACGAAATTTTTATGTGTTGTTAAATTAGGCTCGAGTGTCTCTAAAAAATAGGACACAGTTCCCTGGAAATTGAAAGTTTCTTTTCTATTACTCAATCATTTTTGGAGAGATTTTCATGCCAAGGAGATGATTCCAGAGTGCCCAGCCCACTGCCTCATCGGCTGGAGTATTACCCTTAGTACCTGGTCCTGGGGGAGAATTCGCTACTCTTGGTGATCGCGATTTATTGATCGGGCTGACGACCAACGAGGCCTGGCTGGACTTGAGCGAGGATGATATGAAAGTTTGTATTTTTAGAGAGAGAATTAACATAACAGTCATCCCTCTTCTTTAAAATTTGGGTTTTGCGGGACTTTTTATTATTGCCGGACGTGAAAATTGAATCAAAAATGTATTTTTATAGTTCGATGAATAATTTAAAAAAATGAGTTATGTCACGTCTTCAATTAAATAGAACTTCTTGATTTTTCATGTTTTTTAAAAATTAAAAAAAATCGTTTTCAATATTTTTTCTACAATTTTACGATTTTATAATTTTTATCGATAGAAGTAAGTATGCAACAATTATTGTGTTTTGATTTTTAAGTAACTATTGCTTTTGGGAGAAAATGGTGAAGATTTTTTGAGAAGTGAAAGGGAATTGATCAACGATTCAAAGTTATTCATCAATTTTTCCCTCGTCATTCATCTTTATCATTGATATTATAATTCATTTATGAGTTACACCCAAAACTTCGGCAAAATCCAAAAAAATGGAAGTATTAAAATTCTATCAAAATTACAATTTTTTTTATTTTTCCATATTTCTGCCGGTAAATTATCCGTGAAGAGTTGTCGAATAATGACAAACACAAACGGTTGCATAAATTATGCGAAAAATAAACGTGTTCCACTCAATGATCCTCAGAACGGACTGAACGAGAGCCGCCGAGACAGAATCCTCCGCACCTTCGTGCGCAACACATACCGCTACCACCTCAACGAGATATACTCAACCCTCCGAAACGAGTACACGGACTGGGAGCGCAGTGAGCAGAGTCCGGTAGCCATCCGCGAGGGCCTCCTCTCCCTCCTCGGCGATGGCCAAGTAGCAGCCCCGCTCCTGAAGCTAGCCTCCCTCCACTCGACCTCCGGTGGCCGTGGTTTCTTCCTCCACTTTCAGCCCGGCGAGCGCCCCAGCCAGCGCGGCGAAGAGCTCCCCTACCTCCTCGGCATTCCCCTGCTCCGGAATGAGCCCAATCGCCACAATGACCTCGAGAACTATACCCTCGAGGACGAGAACCTATCCAGGATGCTTGTTCGATACCTCTCAAACTTCGTTCGGCGAGGGTAAGTGCATCCCCTCTTTTTTCCAGCAATTTACATTTTCTATGAATTTTTTTCTCCATTTATGTCACGCATTATATTTATTATTTTATATTCATAAATAAAAAATTATATTATATTCATATATTATTTATTGTTCTATGAACTATATTATATTATTTATTGTTTATTTTATTCTCTATTATATTTACGTTTTATATTATTTACTAATTCTAAGTGAAATCGTGCAAATGGTTTTTTTTTAATAAAGAAAATAATTCTGTCATGAATTGGTAAACCAGGATAAGTGATTTTCGCTTAGGGTCAATTATTGATGAATATCTTGGAAATGGATATAGTTAGAGAAATTTTTGTGAAGAGCTTTCTTAGAGCTGACATTTGGCTCTATAAAAACAATTTTTATGAAAATTTCAGTATCTTTCTTCCTTTCCAAGATATTCATCGATGATTGGGACTAAGCAAAATGCAGTTATCCTAGTTTACCAATTCACTACAGAATTGACAAATGATAGTTTAAAAAAGCTCAGGCCCGTTTGCACCAGCTCCGGGTAACGAAAACGTCAGATAAGAAAAAAAGTAAAGTTGGATGTTCGATGGATGATTTTACCCAGGAGAGTATCTCAAAATTATCCCAGAAACAAAAAATAAAATTTAATCCCGAGGTTAAATCAGTGTTGATGTTGAAAAATTATGACCCCTACGATATAATGGATCCCGAGGATAAATTTTACCCTGGGGTTTAGTTGGATAACAGGGCTGGGTGCAACCGGGCCTCAAAGAATCATTTTTGATGATTCCTATCCAGTTAACGAAATGATGAAATCCTTGAATTTTTCACTTATTGAAGTGTCAACAATGTTTTAATAATTTTATTTAAACAATAATGCAGCAAATATTCCTTTTCACCATTGTTTTTTATGTATTTTCTATTTTACCCTCTAGCATCAATTTTTCTTTGTTTCTGACACGAAATCGTAACACTGCAGTTGTGCAAGTAGAAACGGAACGTTCGAATCTGACGAGTTATCGTCGCATGATCCCAGTTTTTCAATAACTGCAATTCGTTCATGACTATTCCCTTCTATTTATCTCGTAACAAAAACCCCCGACAATCCCGAGCGCTTTATCCCCTTATGCAAACCAGAAAACACATCCCGGAAGTAAAAAACCCGGAGATAAAAATCCCCTCGCAAATTCCCCGTTACCCCCAACGATAAACCCTTCCGTTGAATTCTCCCCCGCATTACTAAAAAAAAGGGCTCATCAGCCGGACCCAACTCGTCGTTCTTGGCCACAGTGGCGAAGAGCACTTCTGGAACTCGTACGACTCCATAAACCAGTTATAAATCTTAAGGAAATCCAAGTTTTCAATCATAAAATTCGTCAATTAAATTGAGTGAGAAAAATTTGACAGGAATCATTCAAATCATTCAATCAATATTCAGCGTCATTCAGATTATATTTTGCACAGAATTCTTATTTTTTAAACATTTGTTGTTTATAAATAAATAATTGAAATTATTTAAACTTTCGGAAACCTAATTTTTTAAAGCATAAAATCGATTTGCTGGTAAAATTCGGAATATGAATACAATTACAACGATTCCGAACAAATGATTTTTATAGTGCGACATTGTTTATAAATTATTCATAAACAATGCTTGTAATTTTCAAAAATAGAAATTTTTTAATTACTTCGTCAATCGTCCTCCAAAAGTAACGTTTCTAATTTTTTTTTAAATGTGTAAAATGTTTTTTAACGGTAAATATTTTAATAATAAAATATTTACAAAATGTCCCGATACTTAGGATCAAATGAGGCTCAAATAAAAGCTCCGACATTTCAAGTAGAAAAGAATTTCACTGGAGAATAATAGCCAAAAGCCACTTGAGTATCTTAAATATTTCAGTTCGGCAAGTAGAACCGGAATGTTCGGATCAGCCGAGTTATCGTTACATTATCCCCCTAAAAGCCTTCCCCACAATCCCACCCAGAAAACCCACTCCGCCCATAAAACCCCCGAAAATAATCGCCGAAGCCAGCCCCGCTGACCCATCTGAACCTTCTTGTCCCCAGCGATCCAAACGAGGGTCACGCCGACACCCTGAAGAGCACCCCCTTCTGGGACTCGTACGACTCAATAAACCAGTTATACCTCGAAGCGAGTAAATCACCGGAGATGCGATCCCATTACCGCGGCCACAAAATGGCCCTATGGTTGAATTTACTGCCTCAGCTTCATCGTCCAGGTTACGAGATCAGTATGCGTCATCACCACCTAGCCGACAATCCACGCATGTACGAGGGTGCTGTCAGACAGCAGACAATGGCACTGCCCCTCCCACCGCCCCCCCTAACCGCCCCAATGCCAACCGAGGCCTCAATGTCACCCCCAAAATCCATCAGTCCCGTGACAACTGAATGCACGACAAATACATCATCACTACCACTGAGTACACCATCAACCTATCCAACGATTTATCCAACTCAGCAGCCCCATCCAAAGTTGTCACCAGGTCCGAACAATCTTCTCCGTAAATTCGCCTCAAATCACTACCAGAGCTACACAACTGCCCTAACAGTGACGATAGCAGTTGGAATATTCCTCCTCCTCCTGAATATCCTGATATTCGCCGGCATCTACCACCAGCGCGACAGAAACGCAGCGGCTGCTGCTGCTGCGGCAGCCGCAACGGTCGCCGCGGCGACAACCTCGTCCTCAAACTCGTCGTCCTCGATGAAGAGTTACCTCGAGCACAAGAAGAAGGAGCAACTCCTGGAGGCGGGCTGCTCCGGCGATCACTCCGGCAGTGGAAAACTCTCGAGGCTCTCCTCCTTCATCATGACTGACTCCATTACCTCGAGTCCGCCGCACAAGCACAAGCTCGCCCAGGAACTTGAACTCCAACTGCAGGAGTTCCAGTGCTCGCCGCCACCCGGGGGCAAGCGAATGGCCCTCGATCCACCCTCGTACGTCACGAGAAGCCCCGGCAAACGCAGCCGAACTCCCTCGCCGTGTGTAGATGTCGCTGCGCGGGACAACGAGCTCGAAGCACATGATCCGGGGATTCCCCCGGTCGACGACGACTATGAGGACGAATTTTTGCCTGAACCACCGCCACCTCCGAAAGTACCGGCTCCCATTGTCTGCCCGGGAATACTGAGACAGCCGGGCACACCCGGTAGTGCCAAAAAACGTGTGCAGATACAGGAGATATCGGTATGAACAATATTAGCATGACAATGCGATCACTCAGAGAGGGATTTGATAAACAATTTTACATGAATATTACGATGTTAATGTTTATCGTTTTGTGGGTTTGTTTAATTTGTGTTCATCAGCTCAGGTAAATAGCTGTATGTTTGATCAGAGCCAAGTGGAATTACTGAGAGACGAGGAATTGGGATTGAATTAATTAACGAGTGAATTTAATAGAAACGATTAAATTATGATTATTCGTAATACAAATGATATTGGTTTACGTTAAGTGCAATGGGTTATTGCCGATTGGAGGGGTGTTTGTGTTGATAGTGTTGCATCCAGGGTGAAATGAGGAAGTGAAAGAATTATTGAATTTAAAACGGTTTAATCTCGATAATACACCCGGAGAGGCATTACTGTAAGCGAACGCACAATGCATCGAAAATTGTAGTACGAGTGAGTGAACATTTGGATGAATGGGGTATTGGAAACGTGAGTTAAGTAATCCGACGTTTTGCATACGTGAGTACTAATTAACTTGATAAAAAAAAACTATTGAGAGTAATTAATTATTGAATAAAGTATTAAGAGAGGATATAAACAGATAAGTTACTAAGTAAAGAATCAAGTGAATAAAATACATTAATGAAAATTACCTACACCCGAGGGAGGGGCCATTCGTAAAACCACTACCATTAATTTTAGCTTGAATAGAATTGAGGGAACGTATATTATAAATCGCCATCGAGATTATTGTAATCGCTGATTGTGTTAATGCATTAAAAAATTGAAAATGTTATTTAGCTGAGTGAGAGGAGTGTAACACGATGAACTGGGAGGGAGGATTAATGCGGAATAGGAAAATTTATCAATGTTTCAAATGTTGGCATTTGATTGGAAATAAATTGATTGGAGCATTTGCCATATATGTGGGATTTACTGCACTCAACTTCGTTCCTTTTTCTTAGTTTTTATTGTCGTTTATTTTCACATTTTCACATTTTTATATATTTTTTTAATTCGAAGAGGAAGTGTTTTCTGTTGCGTTTGAGAGACTCGAACATTTTTAACGAACGTCATTTCTAATAAATTTTCAGTGGAGAATGAACAATTGACGAAAAAATTGGTAAAAATTTGGAAAATGCAGGTGAAAAAATTTTTTTTAATTTTACAGAAATGCGAAATGTTGGCATTTGATTAGAAATTAATTGATTGAAGCATTTGCCATAAATGTGAAATTTACTGCACTTGATTTCATTCCTTTTTATTGTTCTTTATTTTTGTTTATTTTCACATCTTTCCGAATTTTTTTTTTTCAAATTCAAGGAGGAAATGTATTGTATTATGTTTGAGTGGCTCGAACATTTTCAACGACTGACATTTCTACTGAAATTTCAGGAAATTTCATTGAAGAATGAAGAATTTGACGAAAGAATGGGTAAAAATGAGTAAAATTCAGGTGAAAAAATGTTTTCAATTTTACAGAAATAAATTGATTGGAGAATTCGCCATAAACATGACACCTTTTAATTTTTTTTATCACAGATAGAAATGCAACGCATGATATTACCGTGACTCGAACATTTCAAACAAATGATTGAGATTTCTACTGAATTTCCAAGAAAACTTATCCTTGAAAAATTCAAAAATGGACGAGAAAATCAGTAAAAATTGTAAATTCCAGTCTAAGCTTCAACAAAAATCTGTAAAAACTTTAAAATTCAGGTAAAAAATTATCCCAAATTTTGCAAAAATTCGATTGACATAAAAAAATCCAACAGGTGACATTTCCGCTGAATTTCCCCAAAATCTGATTATCATAAAATCAAAAATCCACAAAAAAGTGACTGAACACCGTAAATTTTCTTCGAAATCCAGTAAAAACGAGTGAACTTCAACAGAAAAAAAAACCCCGAAAATTCCCACTTCGTTACAAAACCCAATTGAACCATTTTCCACACAACTAGAACTAGAACTCCCTGCACTCAGCCCTCTCAACTCTCTTTCATCTTCCCTCCTAAAAAAATGTTCTTAGTTCAGTGAAAAAAATGTGTTGCATTATGTTTGAGTGGCTCGATGAGCCGCGCCCGCTTGCCATTCGATGTTCGCTGGGTTTGGAATTTTCGAGCTGACAAAGTGAATTAGATGCTTCAATAGTTCTCGAGTGTGCTGGCACGATCCCGGACGAAGCCGCATACTCCTGAGAGCCTTGATACCGTA